CAACTACAATGGACTAAGACAACTTCACTGTGCACAGCTCTAGAGATGCCATTTAAGGGGAATGATGATGATGACATCTCAAGGGGATGAATGCTCTGTTGCTGAACAGACTGGAGTTAACACATTAGCATGAGCTACACAAGATACATGGGCATGAGCTCTCTACAGTTCACCTTGGAAGTTTGTTGCAAGTTTTCATGCGTAAGCATGTCTTGTAAGAGCTAAGAGAGATAAATGGTATCGTCTATGGGTAAAGTGCTGTAGCAATCAGATAAGTCCTTCTAAAAATATTGATTTGATCAACAAACACAACACATAGCTTAGTGCCTTGCACATAGTTGATGCCCACTATACATTTGTTGAAAAAGTAAGCTAATGAACTATGGAGAGAATTCAGGATAGAGAATGTCCTAGACAGCTTGCATAGCAGGCTACTGACTTGAGGCAACTGGATCTGACTGACTTCCTTCAGAGTGGACTGATTAAAAAGTTATCTCTTTGAAACCACACAATCTTAATTTCATTTTATCATAGTTATACTTTATATACTTTAAAGTTATAAAGTTATATACTTTACTTATTTCTATGACTCTATTTAATAACTCCCATACCTTATTCATACTGTAAGCATCCTATCTATCATTATCATTATTAATTAGTGCACATTGAATTGATTTCAGAGGCTATTCTCTAGCAAAAGTAATAGTGATTCAATAATAATAACTGGTTTTTATTATGTATAGGGCATTTAGTTCACTATACATACATATGTATCCCTCATAGATTTCATGTATGGGCAAAATTCAGATTCTAATTCTACTTCAGAGATTAAGATTTTCTTTTTTATATTTTTTATTTTATGTGCATGAGTGTATTGCCTGCATGTATGTAAGTGCACCTGTGTTATGCACTGCCTGCCAAGGTCAGAAGAGGGTTTCGAATTCCACTGGATCTGGAATTACAGAAGGCTGTTAGCCACCATGTTAGTAGTTGCTAGGAATCAAACTGGGATCCTCTAAGAGAGCAGGCAGTGCTCTTAACCACTGAACCATCTCTCTAGCCCCAGAGATTATGATTTTCTAAATTCAATAGCATATGTGAAGCTTCCCACTGGTCTTCCAACTGTAGAATTGTTTTTATTTTTGTTTTCATTTGGGAAGAATTACTGAGTCACCATGCATACCAAAAGTTAAGGCCCAGAGTATGAACGGTCTAATTTATCCCATACTATAATAGCTTCGTGGATTTTTATCATAAACACTGCAGTTAAGCATGGATTTGGAGTTTAAAAGGTACAGAACAATGTGAGCAGTGGTAAAGTCATGGACAGGAACAGTCACAGGTCACTGTAAGCCTAGACTGCTTGTTCAGTTCAGGCTACAGTGCTCTGTCTGCCCTTGGATGCCCCTGGTGTTAACTCCATATGACCTCCAGTTTAGTCACCCGAAAGCCTCATTACAACCATGCCACTTCCCAACTGAAAGCCAAGGTGGAATCCACTTCTCCCCTCCCAGGAAGACCATTTTCTTTGTTGCAGTGCAGCCGGTTCCCAGTCTAGTCTCAATCCATTTTGCTGCTCGTGCCTGGCCACTGCAGCCCAGTTACCAGCACTGGAACATGGAGAGTTACTAGAAATTTCAGAGCATCCAACTCCTTGCTTTTGCACATTCTTTCTCTCTGCCTGAAATGCCAACAGCAATCTTATGCATATTATTTTATGACTCATAGGACTATTTCAAGGTCAACAAAGAAAAAAAAATCTGTATTTTAAATGACCATATCTCCATATCCTGTGTCTGGTACATAGGAGGTTTCAATAAATATTTTCTCTGGATTAATTCAAAGTTAAGAAAAAAGAAGAAAAAAAGTACATTTTTAGGAAAACTTCCTGAAATCCTGGAAAACTGAATACTTCCATGAACCCTGACGTTATAAGGACCACATTGTTATAGAATGGAATTACTTACTTCTGAGTCCTTCTCTGGGGCTAGACTGAGTTCTTGGGTGGTGGAGACCAAATCTTACTCACAGTTGGATCTTTTAATACCAGCACAAGGGCCAGCTTATAGTAAACCTTCATAAATTTCCTGGAACAGCAACTATAACAATCACGTGACACCAGCAGTACTGTCATGCCTTTCATTTTACAGCTGAAAAACACAGATCAAGAGAGAACTAAATACACCCTGACTCAATTGCCCTCTGAAATCACAGACCGGGGCTGGAACATAGGTATCTCAAGTCCATGTATGACAGAGTTCTGTGGGTGGTCACTTGACAGAGGTTACTAGGGACCTTTCTCCATCATCCCTCCATAGTTTTCTGGAAGCTGCTCTTGACCTTGGCCAAGACTGGACCACAGGGCCTTGGAAATCAGTCTGTGGTCACAGTGATACCCAAAAGCAGTCATCCCCTCAGGGAAAGATTAGGGATGAGGGATTGATCCTAGGCAGGTTGATAAGGACAAGAATGTGAGTAGTATCAAGAGACTTGGAGCTACTTGAATTCCTTTTCAAAATCTGTGGCCAGCGGGACAAGCAATATTCTTTCTCCATTTCCCACCAACCCTTAGGTGGATCTCCTGATCATTAGAATGACTCTTGTCCTAGATCTAAACGGTTCTCTTTTTCACTCAAAAGTGGCACTATGAGCCATTATTATTGAGTGCCTTCTCTCCCTAGAAAGACGTGCCTGTGCCGGTCAAAGCTCAGAGGGCTTCCAGCAGCCCTGTCCCTGGTATCTTTTTTATGATGCTTTTCCCAAAACGCCACTGTGTTGCTCCTTACTTAGTAGAATGCGCTAGGTAAGGCCAAGAGGCCAGCCTGCAGCCTTGGTCTGAACTTCCCCTGGTGCCTGCTCAAGCCAATGGTCCGGAACCTTCCCAGGAAGTTAAGGATAAGCTCAAGGTGAAAGTGCAGCCTTCACCTGACACCAGAATTAGTGTATCCTTGGGCCCTGTGCTGGGGTAGAATTGCCCAGGACAAAACCTCCAAATGGAAATTGCCCTGGAGGGGTGGAATTCCTGATTAAATTTCGTAGAAGTCAAAAGATGCTGAAAATACCCTGAAGCCTGCACTGAGGAGTGGCAGAGGAGTGTAGGTGGTGGTGACACAAACTAAAAACCGACAGATTTCTATTGAAATGGGGAGAAGTGCTGGAGACAAGGAAACTAATTCTAGAGACTGCAGGCGGCCAGACTATTGTGCCTCTCCTTTCACACATGAAGAAATAGAGATCCAGAGAAGACAAAATACATCCTGACTCACTTTCTCTCCGAAATCAGAGCCCGGTGCTGGAACATAGACCTCTCAAGTTGACTTACAACAAAGTTCTGTGGGCGGTCACCTGAAGAGGCCACTAGGGACCTCTCTCCATCAACTCTCAGTAGAAAATCTTTAGAAACACGGAGGAGCTGCCGGCTCAGGGCAGCGTCGGAGAAAAAGAGACCTACTACTCTAAAGATGCCTGGCTTTCTCCAGAAAAGCACCAGGAATAGAATCTAGGTCCCAAGCAAACCCCCGATCGGCCGGGAGGCTGGTGGGGGGGGGGGTTGGGGGGTGGTTTGCACGTTCGCACAGGGACGGGATCCGGGTAGTCACAGAGCCCAGCATCCCTGGCAGCAAAGTCAGGCGTGCAACCGAGCCCTGGACCGCGGAAGGATATATTGCACTTTGTTTACCTCTCCCAGGCCCAGCGATCAAGGGGCGAGGTCCACTCTGGCGCCCCCGGGCTGGGGCGCTGCAATAGCAGTGGCAGCTGCCCGAGCCTCCGGCGGGCGCAGGGGAGGCCCGCGCCGACTGGCAGCGGCGAGGCTGATTGATGGGCGCTGGGCTCAATGACTGGGACCCGGACGCGGGCGGGGCGGGGCCGGCTCTGGGCTGAGCCAGTGGCGGGGGTGGCGATGAGGGCGGGGGCTCGGTGGAAATATGTCGGTGACATTGAATGGGGAGACCGAGCGCGAGCGAGCGGGGCGCGCGCGCGCACACAGGCGCACACACAGCCCGGCTCGCTCCGAGATCCCCGGCCACGTAAGTAACTATTAATACCGCCTCGCCGGGAGATGCGGGCGTGCTGAGCGCCGGGATTGGCCTGGGGCGCCGTGGCCACCCCCTTTAATTTTTAAATACTCGGTCCTCTCCTACTTCTGGGTGGCAAGGAAAAAAGAAAGATAATAAAGGAAGAAAAGCGGTCGATTGTTTTTTTCTTCCCCAACAAACCCCTCCGTGCAATTTGGGTTCAAGACACCGGGAGCTGGAGTGGTTTGCAAATTACTCCAAGGCTTAAGATCTAGTTCTCCAGCAGAAAAGGAACGCCGCAGGTTAGCCGGGTCGGAGGAGCATCCTCACCAGCTCCCGGCAGGACCCCCGGAAGCTCCTGCGGGGGAAATAGGAGTCCATTGATCCGCCCAGGTCCCCGCCCGCACTTCTCGCTCTATTCGGAGGAAGATCCCGGACGACCGCATGAGCCAGTGCTGACCTCCCCGCGCGGGCTCAGCCCTGGCTTTGTCGCTGTACCTGTGCCTGACCCTCCCCGCAACTCCCTGCCCAGCCTTTGCAATCTTTTGTTGGCACCGCTGACCGCTCCAAGTTAAATGCTGGACTGTACCCCAGTTCTTTTTTTTTTTTTTTTTTTTTTTTTTTTTTGGAGAGCTCTTGGCGATTTTTTGGAAAAGCCTCAGACGCCATCTACAGTTAAGACGTAGGTAACTGCCCTCTCCGGCACCCCCCCTTCCACGCCCCCCACCCTTTCCACCAAAAAAAGGGGGTGCAGCGCGGATTCTGGCTGCCGCGCGTCTCGAGCCGGTAGACTCGTGCTTATTTCCTTTTTCTTTTTGTTTGGTTTCCAACGCGTGGAGAGCAAGCCGGCGCCGCGCGTTCCCTGAAGACTGCACAAACTCCAAGCAGTGCTCCTCCGCCCTGTCTGCGGCTGGAAGGCAAAGCTGGGGATTGCTCGGGAACCCGGGTTCTGCAACTCCGCACCTTAGAGGCACCGTCGAGACCCACGTTGGGAGCACAGAGACCCACACCCTCCAAAAGCCAAGGTTCTGCACAGCGCTGGCCGCTTCGGGGTAACAAAAGGACCCGAGCTGCCTGCAGACCCAGCACCCCCGGGAGCCGGGCTCGCAGCCGAGGACGTGCTCGGCGGCGCCCATCTGGGGGCTCGGTTCTAACTCTTTCTCCACGTAGCCCCTCTAGACTCTCCCATCCTCTCGATTCTTCTTCCATCCGTGGCACCGAGGCCCCTGCAGCTGCACTCTCCCGGGACTCATCCATCTCTCCAGCGAGTTTTTTGTTTATTTGTTTTGTCGTGTGAGATCCCCACACTCATGAACATACACAGGTCTACCCCTATCACAATAGCGAGATATGGGAGATCTCGGAACAAAACCCAGGATTTCGAGGAGTTGTCGTCTATAAGGTCCGCCGAGCCTAGCCAGAGTTTCAGCCCGAACCTCGGCTCCCCGAGCCCGCCCGAGACTCCGAACTTGTCGCATTGCGTTTCTTGCATCGGGAAATACTTATTGTTGGAACCTCTGGAGGGAGACCACGTTTTCCGTGCGGTGCATCTGCACAGCGGAGAGGAGCTGGTGTGCAAGGTAAAGAGACTGGCTCTGGGCTTTGCTTTTTGTCTTTTGCTTTTAAACCATTCGGGTCCCTTTGCAAGGGACGTGGAGGGGGCGGGAGATCGCTGAGCCCAGGGGTCTTGGGGCGGGAGATTCTCAGGACCATTAGCCCTGGCCTTGTTAAATGGGCTTATTTGTGTATCTGTTCGTATTCGACTTCTTGGGAAGTTTTTAGTTCGTTTCAGACAATGGGGCGGGCACAGCGGGGGCGTTTTGGGGAGAGCCGGGGAAGGGAGGGCGGCACTGAGCTGGGGACGCCGACACGCGTGCTCCTGGAGGCTCGTGGAGCTCCGGGACTCCGAGCGGGGGCCGACTGCTCCGGGGATTTCTCTTTAGGTTGAGCCTCCTCCCCTCCCAGCCGGGACTAGGGAATTCCCAGTTCTTTTCCGGATGCTGGCGACTGGGTTCTTTTCTCAGCCTTTGTTCTTAGCAGCCTGCAGGTGTCAAACCTTTGTTCCGAAGGTGCCCTTTAAAAGAGACGGAAAAAGTGTCCCCTCTGGCTGAGTCCTAGGGTCCAGCCTGGAGAAGGAGTTTACAAAGACCTTTCTTTTGCCAGGAGCCCGGAAAGGAGGGCGGGGGAGGAAATCAGCCGCCAGCGCACCTTTGGGTGAACAGTGAATCCTTTGGGGCTTTCTTGTCTGGGTTTCTTCTATCTTTAGATGTCCTCGCCTGCACACCCTCGTCCCTGCTTCTGCCCCGCACCCAGCACACACCTTTGCCTATTCAGAGGCTGGCCTTTGGAGCCCCCTGTGCTAATACCAAGAAGGGCACTTCAGTTTCCTTTTTGTCTTTGACCCTAAACAGTGACTGGTTTGTGTCTGTGAGTCCTTGTGGGCGCTCACCGAGTACCAGGCAAGGGGGATGAGGGGGAGGAATAGTTGCAAAATATTTGACTACAGTCCGTTTCCTACTACAATAGCGAACAGTGCTACCTGGAGTTGAATGTAGATCGAGCGTACATTACCACTTAATTTAAGATTTTTCTCTTTTTTTTTTTTTTTTTTTGAGGGAAGAGTGGAAATCAATGTTGCCTTTGAAATGGGTGCTTTGCACATCTGTGTTACAAATAATGCATCACTCACACGCTTTCCTTATTAATCACCAAGTGCTTTGTGGAATCCCTTTCACACTGAATTGGAGCTCTTAGCAAAAATTGGGGTTGGAAAGATCTCAGGCAGTTTTGTGATTATTTGGTTCCTACCCTAGAGGAAACCGAAGACTCTTTAATGGTGCTCGATGCGCAGACCGAGCATTTGGTATTTTGCATTTTTTCCAGATTACTTGAAATCCAGAGCAACTATGTCCAGTTAAACCATTAAATGCAGTAGGCAACTCAAGCTCAGACTGGAATAGAAATCCTGCAACATTGCACAATAGGACAGTCATCCTTTGAAATGAATGAATTCCACAGAGCAGCTCCTCTTCTCCGAAATGTGCACAATCACCCAGCAGTGAGTGTTTTCCCTCTTTGCTCAACTTCAGCACAGCATTTTAATCTTTTTTTTTTTCAAAGACTGGAGATGCTTTTAAGTAAAGAGAGTCTGCAGCCAAATTCTGCAGAAGTATCTTGCTATTATTTCTTTGTTTAAAATCGGGGATGACTCTCACCTCTGTTCTTTCTCCCTTCATAACCTTCAAGACATATTTCACTGTGGACTGACCTTACAGTGTCATTTGCAGACTTGCTCTCTGGCCTAAAACTGTACTTAATCTGCTGGTTTAGTTATTGCAAAGACGGAATCAGTCTCTCACCAATTACAGCGTGGCTGCAAGTGGATATAAGGGCAGTATCATTGTTCTGTTTGACAGAGGTCATCCCTTTATGACACAGCAGCTCCTGTTTTATCTGCCTTTTTACCCAAGGTGATGTGGGTGACTTCCACAAGCCTAGCTGTGTGTAGGATGCTCCAGGAGTGTTCTATAAGGCTGATTCTGAGATATACTGGAGACTTACTTTGCTACAAGGCTCAGTGAAATCTACACATTAGATCAAGCTCCTTTTGATGTCTTAGTAGATGGTTCAGGCTTCTTAGCTTTGGGTTGAGTCAAGAAAAAAGTCTGTAAAAGCAGATCAAGCGGAAAGGTGCTGTTTACTATGAAGGACTGCACAGTAATATTCTGTGGGACTCTTTGAGGGGAGTGGGCTTCCAGGAGCATAAGCACAATTTCCCAGACTGATTATTGTCTCCACATGAGGGAAGGACCTTTAGGGAATTTTTAGCTGCATGGCTTTCGTAGCAATCTGGTAGCTACTGTGCAGAATGACATAATTACTGTCTTGGCAAAATGGGCACTTATTTTTTCAAACATTATTAGTGTGGCCCAATCTTACTGTCTTACCTAAACTGTCACGTTACATAACTAAGGCTTCAAATTAAACATTTAAAAGGAGCTGGCACCCAGACTCCTGGATTGATTTTGCACTTGAGGGTGATGGTTTAAATACCAGTCAAATCCCATAAATGCCTGTTAGAGCCACTAATAAAAGTTTGACTCCCCCCTCTTCAGGAAAACATTTCTTTTATTTTTTTATTTTCTGTCCACCATCTTAGAATTTGGCTCTCCTCTACAAAGGGTATGTCTGCACTGAGGAGCTGCCAGGAATCTGCTTGATACTTTTGTTTAATTTTCTGTCCATTCAGCCTTTCAGCAGTGCAGTGGGAGGGCAGGCTAGCCATGCTGAGCAAAAGGCACCTTTTTTTTTTTCTTTTAAAGGCAACTGAAAACAGGAAGTGTATTATAAATAATCATAACTATAGGCCCTGGCGACAGAATCCACAGCCTGGTGTTGGGAACAAATCAAGCTCGTTACATAATGCAGCCTGTTGACATTAACCACTGTGCTGTGTCTATTCCTCGATGAAATTTTGAGGCTTCTTGGTTCTGTTGCCTGCTTCTGGGTGCTAAGGTTGACTCGAAGGTTTCAGATTCCTAATTGAGCGGGCCTCTGAGGTCACTGCTCTGAGGTCATCGTTTGACAGTATCAGGGTGTGATTTGTGGTCTCTGGAGAGGCTGAAGTATTCATTCTTAAATTTGAGGATGTAGTGGTAGCAGCTGCACTGTTTTCCTGAGATGCCTCATTACAGCCAGCTCATTCACAGCCTTACTGTTAACTTTGCTTCCTCAGCCCGTTAGCACCAGCCCCCTTGAAGTGCTTATTGTCCCTGTTTGACTCACAGATTTTTTTTTTTTTAATGCTTTGAGTGACTTAACTCCTAGATTCTTACATTGCAGGTTGTGTCCCTGGATGGGTTGCAAAAGGTCTGGGAATCCCTCAGAGGGATTCTAGGATGGTATGTGCATTCGAGAATCTGGTGTTGTCAGCCAAGAGAACAGGGACAAAGCGTCTTGGTGGGATCAGACCCAGGAAAGGCTTGGTGTCTGGGTCAGGGTGCTCATTTCATGAAGAGGAAGACCCCGTGTCTGTGCACTTCACCCATCTCATCTAGATGAGTGGTGGTCCCGCCACAGTGAGAATTGATCTTTCCTTCAGAGTTTTCTCCTGCATTTTCCCCACCCCACTGCAAATGATAGTGGGAGATGTATGTTTTCACTTAGGAAGCAAGACTTGACTGGAGCTCATGATCACACACTGCTAGCACAGAGGGCGTTTTTCTGTTATACCTGCTTTTTTAGTGAAACACCCCCACGCTCATCACACCCCCAAGTAAAATCTTACCCACATTCCCCGAGAGCTCAGGAAACCACATTCCAGTCCCAGGCTCTGGTATAGGTGATTTAGTACAGGCTTTGAAATGGATGAAAGCTCTCCATTCCATCCTCAAAATTCCTCCGTGGTGTTCATTTCTCTTAGGTCTGTTTCAAAAGGTATCGATGGTGCATTTGCTTTTTAAGCAACAGTGAGGTGGCATTTCACAGGCGAACTCTGATTCATAGAAAATCATTGCATAACTGATTCATTGAGTTAGGTATCTGTGGAGGGAAGGAAACCAGCTTGCTTTCCCAGTGAGGAGGCCTGCTTGTTATTCCTAGTTCTTGCCACTTGGGGCAGAACTTTCTGCTTGTTTTCTGAGCCTCAATTTGCACATCTGTAAAATGAATTCATGTAATATAGAGAACTGTCAAGCAAAGTCTAAATAGTTAATGGATTCTTTCCTAATATGTCTATAGTACTCATTTGTGTGCATTTTGGGTGCATTTTAATAGGTTTTCGTCTTCAACCTAAGGGTCACTTTCTTATTTGCCGTTGTTTTTCTATAAATAGGCACTTGGGTTACAAAGGAGAATAATAAAATTTGGGGCTTGGGAGCTAGTTAGTAAAGTGCTTGCCGTACAAGCATGGGGATTTGAATTTGATCCCTAGAACCCACATAAAAAACTCAGGTCTGGTATTGCATGCTTATAGTAATATCAGCTCTGGGGAGGCAGGGGCAGGAGGATCCCTGGGGCCTTCTGCTCATCCAGCTGAGCCAAATCACTTGAGTTCAAGGTCAGTGAGAGATCCTGTCTCAAAAAACAAGATGGAGAGTGTCCTGAGGACTCACACCTGAGGCCTTCACACACATGCAGAGAGAAAAGAGAGAGAGAGAGAGAGAGAGAGAGAGAGAGAGAGAGAGAGAACAAAACTGTATTTGTATATCCCTTCAATTTCTGCTAATATCCCTCCACTTGTAAATCAAGTTTCCTTTGGAGTTGGAGGTTCAGAGGGGTCAATAGATTTTTTTTTTTTCACAGCTGGTACTAGAGAGGACTGGTGTGGCTGGGGTCCAAGCTGAAGACCTTTTATGTCATATGGAAAGCATAGGACTGGAGAGGCATCCACACCTTGTAATTTGAGTTGTAGCGGGTATCTCTGACTTGGGTCTTATCAATTCTGTTCTAGGTGTTTGAGATCAGCTGCTACCAGGAGTCCCTGGCCCCCTGCTTTTGCCTGTCTGCCCACAGCAACATCAACCAAATCACTGAAATCCTCCTGGGAGAGACCAAAGCCTATGTGTTCTTTGAGAGGAGCTATGGAGATATGCATTCCTTCGTTCGCACTTGCAAGAAGCTGAGAGAGGAGGAGGCGGCTAGACTGTTCTACCAGATTGCCTCAGCTGTGGCCCACTGCCATGATGGGGGGCTGGTGCTGCGAGACCTCAAGCTGCGAAAATTCATCTTTAAGGATGAAGAGAGGTGAGTGAGGCTCAGCCTGTGCGTGCTGTGATAGGGTGTTCCCATCTGCACCTTCAGTCTTCAGGGAATAATTTTTTTGTTCGCTTTGCTGCCCAGGTAAGGGTTAGGACATGGGAAGAAGTGAGAATATTGTGATATTTCAGTGCCCTTGGGAATAAAAGGAGTCATTACTCTAACACGTCATGAAATGTTCAAAGGCCAGGGCCTGGGGTAGTCTGTGACCTCATGAATGTATGTGGTTTCTGTGATGAATTCTGAAGGTGACTGCAAACCAATGTGGCATTTTCAAAGTCAACAAGGGCAGGATTTTGAAGGTCTGATGCCATTAGAACACTCGCTGCCTAGAGGCGGTTTATTCTTCATTCATTCCCTCAATAGCTTTTTCCTGTGGATACAGAGTATATGAATCATAATCTCAGTAATGAATGTCAAGAAGAATTAGATAGCCATCCCACCCACCAAACAGGTGTTGTAGGCTCCAAATTAGAGGTATGTCTGGGTCCTATGAGAACTGGGATAGGGAGTTGTCAGTTCTAACTTGGACATGAAAGGTTTTATAGGAATGGACTATGGGTACCAGTGGGCTTGGAAGAGGAGTCTATTGTGGGCAGTGTGGGAAGAACTAGCCTTCCAGGTGAGGAACTGGTGGTGGCCATACATGCACTGAGAGGGCCTGGCTGTCTCAGAAGGCATCTGCCCAAGACACCGGGCATTAGACTCCATTCATAATTACAACATTAACTCCTGCTCCATTTAGCTACTCTGGCTGGAGCCCAGCTTTCTCCTTAGCTGACTATGGTTCTAAAACTTCTTTTTAAGAATGTTCTTCCTCAGAAGGACAAAGGCAATGCATTTATAGCCACTGCTCACTTGTTCTTTCTACTCTAAGGATTGTTGAAGAGGCTCCACACACCTGTGGCCATGGATCCTCAAGCCTTGGCCTTACTTATTTAAGCCTTTCCAATTGGAAAAGAGCCAGGGAAGCAGAAGATTCACCCAGATCAAGCTCTCAAGCCAGGCTGGCTTCCCTCTTTCATTCACTCACCCTGCAGAATTCCTTTGGTACTTTCTGTATGTCTTGGGCAGTGCTTGCGATCAGATCTTTCTGTCCTCCAGTTCCTTTTGCATCTAGCTCAGTGGCCTGTGATGTTTTCAAACTATTTACAAAAAATCCATTGCCTATACCTCCCCTCATGGGCTACACCTAGCAGGGTATGTCCTGTTTTTATTTTTTAATTTTCATCTCCATGGTTTGAATTCCTTGGGAACTTAATGTCTGGCAAGCACTTGGGGCTTAGCAAAGGATAAGGGCCTGTTGTTACTTAACCCAAATGGAATAATTTCATGGGTGTTTATTATGCAGCTGTGTATACTACGTGCAGAAGGCTTCTGGGCTTCCTAGACCATGGAGGCTGGATCTTTTGCATATTTTTACACATGGGGGCATCACTGGCAATGGTGGCAGCTAATATTCTGGTCTTTGACTGCAGTGGCTTCATTTTATTTACAAAATGAAGAAGATGGGGTCCTAAGATTGCAGCCTGGGTGAGACCTATTTTTTCTCCAGCTCTGGTGCTTCAACCCTTGGAGCCTGGACACCTGTTCTTTATCTAGCTTTTGTCTTTAATAATCTTTGTGACCTTGGGCTGCTCTCTTTAAGCCTCATGTCCTTCCTTCTTCTGCTTCTTCTGTTGTCATGGCTCTGCCATATTGACTCCAAGTTCTTATCAAGTTTTAACATTCAGTTTCTGCACATATATATGGCATATAATATATCAAAGATGCTGTCTTTACCATCTTTTCATCTACAAAAATAGGCAATGTTTATTGACTTTTGGAAGAGATGTATCTTTCCTCTGGAAACTGTTATTGAGTATGGTAAAGCTGTAATGAAATGCTTCTTCTAAAAGATTATATATATATATATATATATATATATATGTATAAAAGGCAATGTTTATTGACCTCTTGCTATAAGATTGTAATTCAGCTTACTCAATTCTTTGTAAAACTGGACAATAGAGGGTTCTCTCTCTCTCTCTCTCTCTCTCTCTCTCTCTCTCTCTCTGTTGTACACTGAGCCCCAGGGCCATGCACATGCTAGGTAAGCTCTCTACCACTGAGCTACACCTCTAACCCATGTATATTTTGTAGCCAAGGGCTCTGAAATATGGAGTGGTGAGTCCAAATTAACACCGAGAAATAGCAGAAGGCAGGGAATATTCTTTAGACATTCAACTCAGCTGTCACGAACTGCATTCATCTGCCCTCAAATGCCCTGGACCTCTCCCAGGGAGGTCTGCATGGTTAAACATCACCTGAGAGAGCCATTCAAGCAGAATTGAGTGTCAGGGTGGTACTTCCCAGGATCCCACGCATAGCAAATATGTATTTGTGGAGTGAGACAAAGTACTATGGATGTCCCAAGTTGAAGAACACTTGGGCAGGACCCAGAAGCAGACTTGGACTGTTTACAAACCCTTTCTTCACTGGTCATCTGGAAACAGCATTGAAGCAACTCGGAGGGACTACTTAATAGATTCCCCATTTCTACATTCACATCAGTCTTCCTGCCTCCCTGCCTCCATCTTGTCTCTCTCTTTCTCTCCTTAAAACAGATTCTTGCCATATAGCTACACTACTTTGAAATTCAGGATCTTCCTCAGCTACCCAAATATGCAGGCCTGTACCACCATACCTAACTTTCTCTTTCCTGATCTCTAGTGGTGGAAGGTAAAATATCATTTGGCAGAACTGACTGAGCCCCACTTGAACAGAACAAGAGCTGCCAATGAGTGTAGGTTTTAGACTACAGACTGTCTCTGACTGTACCCAGAGCCATCCATGAACACATTCTTAATGGAACTCTCAGCACATCACAAACATAATGTCGCTTAGATGACACCCAAGGTCATGTGCAGACCCAAGGCCACTACACCTGCTGTTGTGCTGAGAGGTCAACAGCTCAGATACTTCTGAGTCCCTTTGACTTTGACTGGGTTCCAGATGCTAGTTCTGATCCTACCACTTGCTAGCCACCCAATCCTGTGAGTCTCTTAATGTTTCTGAGTTACCACTTTCTCAGGACTGACATGATTGTAGTTTCCCTGGAAGGTGGTTAGCATTCAGTGAGACAATGCTGTGATACCCATGCAGAGCAGGCACTCAGTATATGACAGCTGCACCTGGAGTCACTAACAAAACAGTGTCTTTATGCATGTGCAGTCCAGAGGACTTGGTGGGTTCCTGAACTATGAAGTTACTATTTAGCATCTTTTCTGTGGAGAGCGGTGCCCTCTTATGTAGGGGGTTGATTGTATCCAGACTGGGGTGTTTTGCAGAGCAGAGCTTCCTCTCTTTGTTCACTCTTAAGACCCTCCAGCATTGAGCCACATTTTGAGGAAGTGAATCTTGAGCCTCCAGTGAGTTTGTCAAGGGGCACACCCTTTGCACCTGCAGTCCTACAGCAAAATTTGCACTGGTTCCTATGAGAGGTGAGGCTATCCGCAGACCTGCCCCAATCTGATCAGAGCTGAAATATTTGCCCTCATCACCACAGGAATATCCTCTGTGCCACCTAGCTGCTTCTTCCCTATGGTGGTCCTGGGTGATCTGCTTGGTCAGTTTGTTGTTAGAGAGCCGGTGTTTCAGTTTAGGCATCAAGGAAAAGTCTGAGCTTAGAAGTACAATCAGAATGGCTGTGTGGGTTCTAGCCCCTGTTCTTATTAGGAAATTTATCCTTAGATCACCTCTGTGCTTAGTTCAGATTGTCTCATCTATAAGATGGAAATAGCAAGATCTTCCTCATAAAACAAAGCGAATAACTCAGGTCAACTCAGTGCTTGGTGTTCCCAAGCAGCAGCTGCTCCTGCCAACTATGACTTCTTCCATATCTACTGTCTCTTGCCTTTCTATACCGTTGAACCCTTAGGCTCCTAAGGAAGGTGGTGGGACATTATTCCTACACTGACCTTTGCTCTGCTTTGCCCAGTTGGCTTTCCTGGAACAAGGCTTCTTGCCAGTCCAGGCTTCACCCCTAATCTCAGTGTTGAAATCTTTATGCATAGGAATGTCCCATGTGAAGAGAGAAGCTTGCCTTCTTATATGCTACTGTTTTGGTTCAGAGATCTTTATCTTTTAAAGTGGCTCATTTCATCTCCTTCACTATGTGGAAACCAATCAATTTAGTGCCTACTTCTGGACTGGAGTTGGGACCTTCTGTGGGTCCTCAGTGGCTATAGGGGCTTTCTATATAAGAAGTGTAGTTTGTACCTCCCTCTTGGGGAAAGGCGTCCTCCCTCCTCTACCAGAAGAGGTCAAGGCCCTCCTTTAAAGGTGCTGCTGTCTGTATTGTTTCTCCCTTTAGAGATCTTCAGGCTGCTACTGCCTCCACTGAGGTTTTAGTATCTAACAAGCATTTTGGGCAGGCATGGGAGCCCTAGGCTTACCTTTTTTTCACTAATAGCTACATATATCTTTGCAAGTTGTAGGCATTCTATTTTAGGGAAATACCTCTTGTTTTTTGCTTTGATGAGACAGACTCCTGAGAAATCCCCATATTTGGGTAGCTCAGCTGTATGTCCTTGCAGCGCTGCCAACCACTGGGCAACGTTGTCTCTCCATTGCACCCCTTGCCAGGCTCCCTAGGGTGGGTAGGTGTCATTTTCTCATACACTTCTTTGCCTGTATGGCCGTTCATCTCCTGCTGTCTCTTTTTGTTGCAGGGGGGTGGGGAGGCGGGGGATGCATGTGTGTTATGTGTACAGGCCTGTGGAGGCCAGAGGTCAACCTTGGATGTTGTTCCTCAGAAACCAGTAGTCTAACTTGTGTTTTGAGGCAGGGTCTCTCATGGGGTCCTTGTGTTTACCAAGTAGTTTAGGCCTGTCTCAGCTTCCCCGATGCTGGGATTACAAGCACATAGCACTGCACCCAGTTTTTACATAGAGTTTGGACTCAGATCTTTGTGCTTGTTTAGCAAACACTTTACTGGCTAGACTATC